CCCTTGAGTAGAAGGCAAAGCTCTTCAACAATCCGAAAATAACAAAGAGTTATATAAAATCTAGATGAAACGGAGGCCTGCAAAGGTCAAGCTCGAACATTTGTTACAATTCACGATATCAATCATGTTTATTGCCGGTCCATTCACTTATAGAAGTAATACAGTAAATATATCTAATGATACACATACCATATGTTAAATACGGTGTTCAATAATGTTCCAATGATCGATTGATTAGTCATTTGAAATTGTAAAGTGTTTATGATATCGAGACGAACGACCAGACATTTTAAGTGAAATAAATAAGCTTTTTGCAAAGAGCAGACTAAACAAATAAAAGCCATTAAGACTGACAATAAAGGATTATGTTTACAATTTCATTAATAGAGTAGTTTAAATGTACTTAATTGCATTTTTATTGTAAGAGATTAGAAGTAGTTAATTGGCAATTATTCGTAAAGTTTATTGACTGTTTTAAAAAATTCGAGTGGGTGAGAGCTATTGCCATCCTACCCTCTACATGACCTTTATACTTCCATCAAGGTTAGGTAATAACGTTTTGTGAATTTCAGCCCAAACTCTCTGTCTAAATTGAGGTGCCGATGCCGTTTTTATATCGAAATCTTGCTACAACTTCTACAAGTGCGCGAGAGCCATGCTTCGGTAAGAATGGGCCCGCTGGACCAGAGTAATACCACGGCCTCACAGAAAACCGACGTGAAACAACGCTAGCGTTGTGTTTTGTCGTGTGAATGAGGTTATCGGGGGCCCAATTACCCCCCCCCCCCCAGTCTCCCCAATCCCCGAACCCTCCACAATCCTCAAATTCTCAATACTCAAAAGGCCGGGCGACGCCGATTGCTTACCATCACAGGTGATCCGTCTGCACGTTTACTGGCTTATGACATAACAAAAAAAAAACAAGTTCAAACCTTTATAAAATCTGCATAGACCCCAATCTACTATTGGAGAGTCCAATGGCTTATTTTAATTTGCAACTAAATCAGTGATCTAATGATTAACAATCATATTCACCACATTAAATCCATTATACATTAAAGATGACTCAGATACAACAAGACTATAAATTATCAGATCATCATAAAAAACAACAAAACAGAAATCTAGAAATTTCTGATAAATACTTAATAATTTACCTCTATTATTCAGATAAAAAACCAGAAATATAGACTGGATTTTTCGAAGTTCCATAAAAAATGTACAACACTATACATTGTTGCTATCGTTAACACGCAGTAAAGAAAAGTTTTCGAGTTAACAGCCCCTTTTACCGATTAAACTGGAATAACTCACAATAATATTGTTCAGGAACATTTATTAAACAGGATGAAGGTAATACGCATTGAACCATAACAAATCTCACCAAATTCGACCTACAAGTTGGCCGATTGATTTATATAAACCAGATGTTACGAACATAGTTACGGCGTAGTAAATTAGCATACTATCTGTCAAATAATATGTTACTGTCTTACTATTATGTTACGTGTTTAGGAATTAGTGATTGGCGGGCGTGTATTGTACGTGCTGGGACATTTATGAAGGTTCATTTTGAATATTCGTGATATCATATCTGCATAATGACAAGTTTGTAGCAAAACTTGTAGGCCTACTTACATTAAAGTTGTATATTTCCTTAATGGAAGTTATTAATTCGGTTTTATGCATAACGAAAATAAGGTTTTTTTTTAATATATATATTTGATCAGCCGATGTTTGACCACTATCTCGCCTGATGGTAAGCGATGATGTGGTCTATGATGGAGCATGTCGTCCCATAAGCAACCTATTCACTCGGGCCTTGAAGACTCCCAGGTACCTTCAGGAAATACTGACTCTGGCAAAGAATTTCACTCTTTAGCAATACGCACAAGGAAGCATAGGTGGGACATCCATGAATCGATTACGCTTCGCCGATTGTCTTGTGGTACGATGATGGAAAGGACTAGGAGGAATAAATTTTGGGACTTTTACAAAACATCACGCCTTTTATGACCGAAGGTTATATTATCTGCCTATAGGCAGAGGTGCACATTACGGCACTTAATGCCACTGTACAATGTAACAGCCAACTTTTCACTTTTATGTTATGAGTTCTATGTAATAGAGGGTGAGGCTATTGCCATATACCAGGCACATTTCTAGACTCCATGCTATAGCTGAAAATTAAAAAAAAAACCAATAATACTTTGCCCGACCTAGGACATGAACCCGAGACCCCTTGCCCCGCAGTCGCAGTTGCGACCACTAGGCCAACGAGGCAGTTTGGGGCTTTTACATTTGCGAAACTACCTAAACTTATAAGGAAAACACTAATGATAATTTTATCTTAAACCACGAGAACGATGTCAACAAACCTCAATGTCATAAGAAAGACTTCTAAATTAGAACATTGCATTTTATAAATGTATCAAGGTTTCCTCGTCCGTCAAACTATTGTCCAACAATATGTCATAATGTTTATCGGAAGTCTATTCTGATTTAAATGGCGCCCAGTTTATAGAACGTCGTTTGATTAATTCCAAACAAAAAGCTTTTATGCCTTCAATATGATAGACGTAGCCTTCGTCAATATTTATAAGTGAGTTTATTAATGTGTAAAGTCATTCGAGACGACAGCCCTTCAAAGTTTTCAATGTCTCTGCTGTGCCATACACTTGAAACGTAAGTAGGAAAATGTTTATGTGGCCTTTTTGATGTTTTTGAAAGTGGTCACCATCATCAACAGCTATAAGCAGCCACTGCTGACCGAAGGCCTCTTCTCGCACGGACAAGGTTTGAGCATTAATCACCACGCTTGTTCAATGCGGGTTGGCGATTTCAAACTTATAATTAGGAATTATAAGCCCAGGTTTCCTCACGATGTTTTCCTTTACCGTTTGTCGGTGGTGTCTAAATAATCTTAAAAAGTACATATAACTCGGAAAAGTCACATTGGTACGTTGATAGGTTTCGAACCCGCGCCCTCATACATGAGAAGCGGGCGTCTTAAGCCGCGGGGTCACCACATTAAAAGTGGTATTAATTTGATCCTGTCTATTTCGGATAGTTTGAACAGAATACTATGGCTTTTTTTCGTTATGAGATAATTTCGAGAGTGACGTATAATAAACATTTGGAGTACACACTAGGTTCGCTCTCCGTCACACGAAACTATAGCAAACATTACGAAAAGTGTTTACTATAGTGTAGCTAGCTTATTTCTGGGTAAAAATAATGATATTGTATTTTGTTATACCTCAAACAGGGGCGCTATTTGGCAGAACCCGACATAACCTTGACAAGAAAGGTTCACAAAGTTCAATTCCCGCGACAGTACAAATATTGGTATAACGAGTAAAGATATTTGATCTACATTCTAGTCTAGGTATCTTGTGTACGTGATTTGTGTGTGAAGTAGCTATGTAGTGTAACTTGTTAGGCTGACACACGAACTGCGAGGTAACAGGTAACACATCAAACACCATTCGTTTATCCTACTACTCGTAAAACTAAGACTTCACCTTGCTTAAGAAAATATTATTGCCAGAAAGTTCTCCGGCTCGCTTTATTGCTTGCAGTAATACAAACGACACGCTTTATTTTCAGCCACGACTGTTCCTGATGTGTTTTTAACGATATGGCTACATGAAACTATGTAAATAAATACATATTATTATGTTAAAACACATCAAACTTCACAAATAGATGAACAATAAACGCAACGTTTTATTGCGTTTTTTTTAAGAATTCAAAAAATAAATTCTTTAAATGCCGTCTTTCTAATTTAGAACTCGTTTCGCCTCATAACATTCGTGTCGGATTTATCTTGAGAGTTGACTTAGAGTCACCATACAATGTAGGTACTAACATAGCTCACTGTTATCTGATTTACATATTGAAGACATGTATTGTTGTTGTACATTTGAGGAAAGATTGAGGGATATGCCAAGTTTGTTTGGACGGCAAAGATGACGTAAGCTTCGCACGCGAGCGCAGCAACCCTTATTATAGTGGAGTGAGGCATAATAAGTGAGCCCCACGGTGGGCGCCAAGAGGGCAAGGCTACGGCCTCCACGGCTTGAAAGTACTTAGAGAAATCGTGCAGTTATTTTAATCTAATTTATAAGGCAACGACTTTACATGGCAACTAAATTCAAGTTTAAGTTATGTTCGGGAACCATTACGTGCTTTTGCAAATACCTAAATAAGTTGGAGGTAAAGTGTTTCGAGTTTACGTCCTTGTTTCTAAGTCGAATTACCTACTAACAATACGACAACATACTTTCTTTTCAAAACATTACATTGTATTTCGTTTTACGTAATCAATCATTGACCAAATACATTAGCTCGAATTTCTTTCGACAGCGTGTTCAATTTTTGGCAACGACTTACGCAAAATACGGTGCCAATTCTTTTTGCCATATAATAAAAATTTGTCGTTTTGAAACTTCCTAAATGCACATATCATATTTAACGTCTTTAAAATGTTTAAGTTCAAAGTTACTGGCATAAGAATGTTAAAGTGCGGTCTATTATCACCATGATGACCACATAATGCGACCGTAGTCTCGGCCATTAGATTTAATGATCCATTCGATACGAAAATAATGACCAGTAATAATAAAGTTTAGCTATATCCAGCAGGGATTAGGACGGAGCGTGTACCTATCTCTAGCAGGCACAAGACGTAACCACTAGTAGGTATTCCGAACTCTCCGAGACCCTAACGACTCGCATTTGGACGTGTGTCAAGGTCAAGTCTGAAGCTAACATATTGCGAGCTAAGCAAGCCTAAGTTAACACAAATGTCTGGTTTTATTGCTACCTCGTGTCGCACGATGAACTCCAATCGATAACTAGGTGAGGTACTGTCTCTGCTTGGCTAAGCTTGAACATTTTATTGCGGAAAAATATTTCGTGTATAAACTATGTCATTTTATCAAAGAACATGATTATTTATTAATTTTAACATAATTTCAATGAAACTAGATACTGACCTGCTGCCAAACATGATAAGGGAAGCGGTTTGCGACAAGTGCTGACGCGATCGTATGCGCTGTGGGTAGGAGGATGCCAAAAGCCGCGGCGACTGGCGCTCCAACCGGCAGCAGGGCGTAAGCAGCGAACACAGCCCATACGACGTGTGCGGCACCCTCTGCTGCTGCACCGGTGTTCCATGCTGGGAGAGTTGCGGCCAAGGTGACTCCACCGCCAGCCAGTGCCAACCAGCAAGCTCGTGGTAACCGCCTCTCTGGGGCCACTCCGGCACGACCACACCACCACGCTAACCCGCTACATAGCAGTGCGTGCGCCGTCAATACGCCGACCTAAACCAAAATAATACACAATCATTACATTCCCAGTTCCATAAAGAGAATTTAAATTGATTTGGAATAAGAATAAGTAAAACCTCGTAAGTCTCAACATAAGATGTTACATCTTACAAAGCAGTAATTTGGCTTACACCACAGCAATCTATTTTCTTTGTATAGTGTCTATAAATTGGTTTGCCTTACTTTCTTTGAACATTTTCTTCAGGCTCGTACATGTAAAACAACCTTGACAGTGTGTTTAATTTAGTTCAAGGGTGTTTTTTGTACGTAAGTACGTCAAACCAAAACAAACTATTTTTAGTTGACTACAAATTGGAAAATTGGACAATACAATATAGTGCCCTGAGGTACACCTAATCATTCATTCTGTTTATACAGTTATTTAGGACTTTGCAGCAAAATAATGTATTAACTGTTGTTATTGTTATAAAATTTATCAGAAAATAAAATATTTATGATTACATCAAAAGCTTCACCCAACTCAGAGAATGTTCTTTACCTGTGGTGCCCTCCGCCACCCACGAGTGGCATCGACAGCGGCGAGTGCGGCGGCGAGCAGTGCCCATAGAGCCAGCGCCGAGCCGACGGAGGTGCGCTGTAGCTTACACGCATAGCGCGCATACAGCTCCTCCAGCTCGGCTGACTCAAACCGCCGCCGCGCCAGCAGCCGGGAGAGCGGCCCACGCGCCGACATCGCCTTCACCGCATGGTCCATGCCGCTCCGGCTGCCTCACCTCGCTGCCGCGCGTAATACTTCTCGCCGCCTCATCTACAATAGAAAATATTAATTTAACGGCTTTGTTTACATTAACATCTCGATAATTTAGTTCCCCAAAAGAAAAGCCTCAAGTGAAAAAACACGGACAAATTAAATACCGTCTTCTACCTCACATTGTGTTGTCTTAACATAATAAGAACATGAAGATGGTATTCGTATGAGTATACTTAACTAACAAAATATATTGTAGCATATATCATACTACCTAATTTTTCAAGATGATAGATATGTAATAAATTTTATTTGAATTACAGAAAGCCATTGATTAGAAAGAAGTTTTGCGTAGGTGGAATTTTAACAGACTTGGCACACTTGATACTGTATACCGTTATTTACGGTATTATTTTAAGTTTTGTGAATATATTGTGCCTTATGGAAAAAGAAGATTTTAATTAATTCCACGTTAGCTAGCGTAGTGTTATTGTATCAGAAGTTCGACAAAGTTTTCAAAGTTCGAAGAAACAAGTGCTGACTACGACAACTCCCAAGAGTTCTTCACTTTTAAAATAAAGCATGGTATCAAAACTATTGATCGTCACATTGAACCACAGCAATAAAACAACAAAGCTTACGTTTCAGCTGTCGCATTAAGAGGAAGACTTTACGAACGTTTGAAAATAAACGAAAGAGTGTTTCGTTGCTGAGTTTATTGTACACAACAACGAATTATTTGTACACAGCTATCTGATCGGAATCATTACTGGTGACAAATGAGGGAACCTAACAAGAAAGTAGAATAACCGCCAGAGAAACAATCCCCACTCAATTTTAACGATTAATTGTAGTCTTTGAATGTTCGCAGTCAGCAGTAGAAGTAATTAATTTACATTCAAACGTTGCCTTTTGTTAATTTACCGATACAAGGCGAGTAAGTTAAGTTTAATCAACGTATCTACATATATATTTACCTGTATTAAGATTTACAAGGAATCTACCAGATCATATTGACGGTATGACATGACAAAGGCTTTGTAAACCACGTTAAGGTTCGAGCGGTTGTAATATTATGCGAAATGTGGCATTTAAAACTGACAAGAGATAAATTCTCAAAGGGTTTAAAGGTGCTCCATAGCTCGCGGTTACACCACAGGGACACGAAGCAAACGTGCCAGGAACGAGCCTGGACTTGAAAGCAATTCAGCTTCACAACACAAACAGCATATTTAATGCTCGGTTTACGGAAAACATGCGGATAAAAGGAACAATAATAATATTTAAGAATGAAAGCCGTCTAGTCAACAATCCTAAATCCTTTGTAAACAAAACATGGCCTGTAAGTCGCTCCTGAACCAAGTGACTTTTAAGATAAGTTAAACTTGAGAAGCCTGCTTCATAGATTAGCCTTAATCGCGGTGCCGTATTTAGTTGTAGACAAACTATTTCTTAGTTTTGTAGGGTAATCTTTGTTTTATTGATTTGTAGAAAATAGCGATGAGTAGAGATTAAATTAGCCTCCGACACGAGCGAAGCTAGACGTGCCGCGATGCGAGGAGACAATCAAATTAGCATAATCGAGGCGCGCGCCTGCAGCCGATAGCTAATGAACCACGATACCGATGTTGAAATTTTTATCGTGCAATCACCACGTGTTGGTGTTTTATGCTCCAACAAGACGACATAGATATGACTTCGTCGACGTCTTGAAAATATTTTGATTTTGTTCACCTGCACGTGGATAACGTACACACAGTAGCACCAACAATTCATGCTTCTAAGAAAATGTTGATCATACCATTTTCCTTTTATAGCAATTGAAGGGTAATTTAGCAATCTTCATCTATTTTAAATGGTGCGGAAGGAATACAGAATGTTCAACTTGAGAAGAAATTGTGTCACGCAACACGTTGAGTGTGCTAGCAGGGTAACCCGAGCCACTCAATCAGAATGTCAACCACAATGAGGACTTGGCAACTGCACATAATGTGAACGCGCTGCGCCAATACTTTATGTACGACGTAACACGTAGTAGAGCTGGCTATTTTCATGGAGAATGTTATTCAAAGAGTTCCATTCACATCATGCTTCAAATCGGTAGCTGATAATTAGGTCAATCTACATTATAATGTATTTATCTAATATATGTATATAAAAATGAATCTCTTTTTCCCTTGGTCACAGCATCACGCGTGAACTTATTTCGCTAATTATTTTTTTGTTGTATTTATTATTATTAGGAGAAGGTTCTTAAGACAGAAAAAATCCTGAAAATCCTACGGAAACGGGAGAAAACGGGATTGCGCATACGAAGTCTAGCAGAAGCTAGTTCATTATAATATGCAATCATTCACACCTATAAAACGATCTCAACTGTGGAAACTTATCACTAAACATAGAACTTAAAAGACATCCGGAGAGGAATACCGCATATTGATAACATAACATAACATCACGCCTTTTATCCCCGAAGGGGTAGGCAGAGGTGCACATAGAAGTAACACCCACTTTTCACTATTTATGTTATGAGTCCCATGTAATAGGGGGTGAGCCTATTGCCATATACCGGGCACATTTCCAGACTCCGTGCTACTACTGAGATTTTTTAAAAAACCCAGTAATACTTTGCCCGACCCGGGAATCGAACCCGAGACCCCTTGCCCGGCAGTCGCACTTGCGACCACTCGGCCAACGAGGCAGTCAGTAAAGGAATAACTGAAATATTTGTAAATCTTGAGGGAACGAAATGAACTTACGTTACGATACTTGGACTAAGTGCCGTAGTTCATTCGTGAGCATAAATAACTAAATAGCCCATCTATACAAAGCTTCTTCAATGTTTGGTAATAGGTACAAACCGTTTCAAACGAGTCCCAAAACCAAGCGACCATTTCGTCAGGCAATACAACCCAATTAGAGATAAAACGAAGCCCAGACATCCATTACGAAGGAAATTTCTTTATCTTTATTGAAATAAACATGTTGTCAGTGAAGGGCCCGAAGCCCGATACGTTTATGAAATTCTGTGTTGTGGTCATTCAATACTCGATGACTGTTTAATGGAAACAAATACTGCCGTATTTTAACAAAGTTATCTAAATTGATACTTGATTAGTACTTTGAAGAGGATATATTTTGACAATAAACACTTTTGTGAGAATGCCACAAGAAACGGTACGTTCCATATATACAATTTTATTTATTTAGCACAAAACAATACGTCTGTGAAATACAATAGGTCTGGCTGACAGTGGTATGAAATACTTATGAGCACAACTGTAGGTACGAACAAACGTAAAAATCTGAAATGATCAAGGCCTCGAGAAAAACAACATGTATTCCGTATATGACATAAAATAAAAGGTATAGTAACGTAGTTCCTTTTATATGTTTTTGGCAATAGCCGGCGGATAATACACGAGGTTGAGAACAAATAAGTTAGAAAACAGATTTAACCCGCGGGGAAGATGGTAGGAGAGGGGAAGGGGGGTCACGGTCGCCGGGTCAATAAACCCGGCAGGCATAGCTGTGGCGAATAAAACGCGCCGCGACGCCAGCCGCCGACCGACGACTCGAGCCCCTCACGAGCCGCACTCATGAATTTCAGTCAATGAAAGCGCAGGTTGCGACCAAACATACCTTTATTACGAACTCCAGATCCGGTGCATTCGTCGGTTCAAATTGCTTTCCGCTGACTCATAAAGCCCGTATGTATTTGACCGCATTACCTACGCAACTACAGGTAGAAAAACGTTGCACTAATTAATCTAATTAATTTGTAAAGTCTAATGCATACCGTTTGGTTGGAGGTTTGTAATAGCTGACATATCACGATAATTTATCACGTCTGTCTTTCCATAAGTGTCGTACAGCACGTAGGACTTGATAAAATAAAATATTAAATTAATACGAGTAGTAGAATGTATATAACTTAATTAATAAAACTTTTTCTAAAAGAAATAAAAAAGTCCATCCCTCCATCCATCCATCCATCATCCATCCTTTTGCTTACAACATCACTATAAATGTCAGATGAAAACAAACAAAACAAAAGACACCGAATCCATAGAAGTGCGAGATGTAGCTAACCGTAAAAAAGATGAAAATATTGAGCATAGACCGAAACCATCTTTGATACAAAAATATCGACTTTCTTATAGGGCAGGCAGGAACTTGAAAGAGGATCGGTGTTTTTATAAGAACAAGACAAGATTGGGACCGAAATGGAAGTATGTCTGTCAAAGAATTTAGAAATAATGGAGTACTTTCATTTACGTTGAAAGCTGTTTCCCACGTGAATTGAATAACTGCGAGGAAAGATAACAGACAGCCCCGAAAAGAAAGCAAGCTATAGAAAAACCTTCCCGTTCACATGAAACACCGAAATGATTTCTTTTTGTGAGAAAAATACCTGCGGATTATCGAAGCTGTCGACATTATTGAAAACCTAATTTACAGTTGTTTGTTCATCATACTTGGTCATATTCAGGGCGCATTGCAATCAATAATGGCTTTGCTACAGTTCAGTAGTAACAGGTTAACATACCAATCAAATAACGAGGTGGTATTGATTTTCCTGCTGTGTCCCCTAATCATCATAATTCCACGGTTCAGTTCAATTTCATAATTATTTAGGAGGGAGAACGGTTCCTGTTTACTTTTGAATACGTTATGGGGAATTGGCTTAAGAATACAAATTAATGTTCTACAAATGCTATTAAAAACGTTGATTTAAAAGTCAGAACTAGTGGTTAATTCAGACGTCAGAATAGGTTTATAGGACAATAAAATGCAAAGTAGGTCTGTAACATAACTCAGTGTTTTTCTAAGATTTTACAAACTTGAAGTACAGGATAATATGTTACGTATAATTATACTTTAAGACTACAAGTATTAGAAACTAGATATCCTTCGCGACTACGGAAGCCTGAGCCAGGCATGTCGAGTCAGATTAGAATTCAAAAAACATAATTATCAGACAGGAAAATCTAACGTTTGCATGGGATTTATTTGAAAAATATACAACGTATGTTATTATATCTTTAGCTGAAGATGCA